TTTATTTGAGAGAGAGCACATGAGAGGGGGGAGGGTCAGAGGGAGAAGCAGACTCCCCGGCGAGCAGGGAGCCCGATGCGGGACTCCAGGATCATGACCTGAGCCGAAGGCAGTCGCTTAACCAACTGAGCCACCCAGGCGCCCCGAAACAGAACTGTTCTGATATAAACTCCCCAACGGAAAAAAATGGGAAATGCCAGCCCGAGGTTTATAAAGCCCCAAGCCTCCTGGTCAGGTGATGCTTGTCGTTGCTGGCCCGGCTGACCTCCGGGGACACTTGAAGGCAAGGCTCTGCCTGCGGCCTGCCCCGTGAGCATTGTCTCTGTGCCCTGTGCATGCCCAGACTCCCGGATGTGTCCCCAGCCCACTGTCACAGAGATGTGCTGCACTCTGACCTCCCCATCAGGGGCCAGGCTTCCACGGGTGCAAGACAGTCAGCCCCCACTGACCTCAATCCACCCTCTGACCAACAGCACACATTTGCAAGTTGACTGTCGTGGGTTTACGATGCAGCCATGGCCGGGAAACATGTCTCTTTTTCTCCCCCAAGAGAAAATAACTGTCTGTTCTGTTATGTGCACTGAATTCTCAATGTTTATTTCACTGACACCAGCTCAGACGATGACCAAAAAAAAAAAAAAAAGAAAAAGAAAAGAAAAGCCTCCTACAGGATCCACTTACTCAGTCTTGCCAGCAAGTAAATGACCCTAAGGCACAGGGTAGGAAGTTCAGTGGGTGCGAATCTTCTAGCGCACTGGGGTAAGTTACTTCTCCATTGCACTGAGCTTGGGCTCACTAGAGAAAAGAGTGAAGGCTTGCTTGGTTTTTACTCTCCATAGTGGTTCCATATCTTGCTTGGTTTTATCTCTCCATAGTGGCTCCATAGGGCCAGGCGAAGCAGGTCAATAGACATCTCATTGTACGAACTACATATGGGAATGCCTTCGGTATTTAGGACTCACTTTTCTAGCAAACCAAACTTACTGAATCATAATAAAGAATGAAATCATCTGAGCATCCAACAGAAACACCTTCAGGCCCATGCTCCAAAGCCTGGGTTTTTCCCTCCTCTGTTTATACTGAGGCTCACCGGACACAATTTCAGCCGGTTTGGATGCCTGACTCCCAGCTCACGGGAAGCTGGAAGCCACGGACAGAGGGAGGAGGAAGGAGCGGGGATGGCCCAGGCTCCTGACAGCAGCTGGAGGTGACGAGCCACAGTGTGCACTAGATGGAGAGGCAGGAGGCGGCCCCACCCAGACAGGAGTCGCGCCAGAACGACACACACACCTACGGGTCACACACGACGCCTTCTGGGGCGTCCACGAGGTTCGTGAGCCAGAATCACCGCAAGACGCCAGGGCAGCAACAAAACGTTTGCTTGGGCTTAATAGAGTCTTCGCAGAGAGGCAGGAAACTATGAAAGACAGTTCCTAAAGCCACGTAGATGGTGGTCACATGCGTTGTGCATTTGACATGTGAGGCCGTACTCTAGGGCGTCACAGTTAGCTCTCCGGGCAGTACCAGATGGTGGCACACCGTCCGCACCAGCCTCCTGGTGCCTCGTGGCATTTCACCAGCACAGGCTTCCTCTTCCAGATACTACTCATGTCACTACTCCCCACACATCCCCACCTCACACACACCTCTCCCCCCACCACCCCGTACGCTCACACGCCAGCCCCGCTGCCTGTTCCAAGAGATGTAGAATTTAAAGAAAGAAATGATGGCCGGGCCGTTACACAGTAGGATGGGAGAGTAGGCAAAGTCTTCTAGATTTGCTGAGAATGTGTCCCCTTGACCACGCGCAGCTGATACCCAGAAATGCAGCGAAGGGAAAGTAGAGCCCAAAGTTGTCTCAGATCGGGCAGTGCCCGATGTGGAATCACACAATATCCAGAGAATTCTGAGGGAAGCCTAAATTAGACAAGCAGGAGTTCCACATGGATTCACCAATATTTCCCTGGGACAAGACTGAAGTGCAATTATCAGCTGACACAAAACAGGAGGTACGGCGTAGTCTTAGGAAGGCTTTGGATACCATCAAGGGGGGGGCTCTCGGGCACCAGCTCCAAGTCACTGAGATGAGAAGCCTGAGCAGAGGTGGGTGAGGGAAGAGTCTTGGATGGAAGGGTGCCCCCAACACTGCTGATGGGCCAATATCACCCAGTACCCCGAGGCCAGCAAGCTCTGGGGGACAAGGAAGGAAAGCTCCTGTCCCACATCACACCATTCTCCTCCACCTCAAGTAATTTCTATGCCCCCACAATACCCACAGTTTCCTCATCCCACGATCTGACACAGCCCCATTATCAACTCCAGCAGGTCCTGCACTTTCCTCCATCTATTTCCCTGCACAGATTCCCGATGGATACACTAGTCAAAAGGACTGAAGCAAGAGGAACATGTACATAACTTGCCTCTGCCCACCTTCCCCAACCACCCCAGCCTTAGAAAGCCTTTGCGTTAGGGCACAAACCCAAGCTGGACAGAGCACACCATCGCGAGGCTGGGGCAACTCCTCCACGTGCACCCCAGCCCCAGGGAAGAGGTGCATCTGCACACTCACCCACTGTGATTCCCACAGTAACCCTCCGCACAAAGGCAAAGGGACAGGGTATCAGTCATGACCTCAAGAGTGACATATCTCCTTAGCTCAAACTTGTATCACTTGCCCACCAGGGCCAAAGTAGTAAAACATGAAATCATATCCATCCCAGTGGGGACAGATGGCCTTCAGAATAACCAAAATGACTGCACCTCATTCCTACCTTCTTCAGCTTGCCACTTTTGGTGCCCACGAAGGCCAGAGAGTGATTCTTGTAGACATATGCGATGACAGAAGTCATGCGGTCCCTGTCCTCCGTGAAGACAGGAATGCCGCGCACCATCTCGGACACACCCAGGGGGGCATTCATATCCAGGCCGCAGAAATTATCATCAATGGTTAAGAGCTGAAAATTAAAAAGGAGAAAAATTAGGAGGGAATATCAGGGCAATAAGCAGAAGTACCGAGTCAGGGAGCTACAGGGCTAGAAGAATCCCTTTTTTACATGAAAACCTCGGATCCAGAGAAACTAGGTGACCTGTCAACAGTCAAGCAGGTGGCAGGACCATGGCAAAAAAACACAGATCCTGAGAGTCTCTTTCCTCTCCTGGCCTCCATGGTCTCTCTGCCCCAGCTCCAACCCCTTCCAGGCGCCATCTTGGTAGCTTAGATTGTCCATCATCACCATCACCCAGCAAGCACTGGGCCAGCACCCATGAGCGGGGGCTCCAGACAGCTCTCCTTAGGAATAAGAGGGAACATGGCCTCCATACCTAGAACTTACTAAGTTGAGCAGACACACAGATGAGGACTCAAGAGCATAGAACAGAAAACTGGAAACATTAACACGTGAATGACAATACCATGACAGAGGCATGTGCAGACAATCAGTTGGGGAGAGAGAAATAGGAGAAGTGGAAGGTTCAGAAATGAACTCAACAAGCCACAGAGGTGCCTCATGATGCCCCATCTCAGGCTCCCTGCTTTTGTTTTAAAAGTGTGGTGAAGATGGGAGATCCTGGCCTTGTCATACCTACACCAGCATGTCCCTAAGTGTCTTCTGTGGAAGTCAAGTCCCCCCCAAGATGCTCTACCAAAACAGGACTCCTTGGGCAAATAATTTTGTACTGAAACATAATATGTTCTAACACCATATAAGACACTCATAACAGTTAGTTACAGTAAAGGTTTGAAAAGTCTTTTTAAGAAGAAATATGTTTAACATTCCTTCAGCCTTTCCCAAACATTGTATGTAAAATATATGTAAAAATGACTGGAACACCTATGAGCCTTCCTTAAAGAGAATATCCCCTGGATACCCTGTTTCCTGAATCCTGGACAATTCCAGGAGTCAGGGAACCAAGAGCAAAAACCTTTGGACCATTTTCCCCACAGTGTTTCGGCTGAATCTCTCCCTGTTTTATTCCAGGCTCCCAGATTCCCATGTGAGCACAGGGTCACAGCTGGGTTCTGTCCCACTGAGGAGTGGAGAAGACCTTGCCACGGCTGGCATGGAGCCCCTAGCGCCCCACCGAGCAGCTCTGGTGTGACACAGACTTCTCTGAAAGCTCTAGGAACCTACGCTGGCTTTTCCTCTCCTTCTCAGAAGGACTGTGTGGCCTTAGAAGAGTTATTCCGTCTTCTCATGCTTTTATTTTCCACTCTATAAAGATGAAGGAAACAAGCCCTGCTTTTTGATGGGTTTCCATAAAGCCTATAGAGCTCACGCCTGTAAACGTCTTTGGACTTTGCAGAAAAAGGAGTGAAATAAAATCCAAGGTGTCACTTTTTTAAAGGCTTCAATCCAGCCAAAGGAAAAGGCATCTGGAGAACCAGCAGGCAGGCTCTTGCCAGCGGAGCTGTGTGAAAGTGGCCAACTCTGAGCTTTCCAGGGACTCAGGGGGCCCCTCGGCTCCCTCCCAGGATTGGGGGGGGGCAACAACGATTGTCCATCTCAGGGAAGACAACGTGCTGAGCATCTAAAACCTCTCTCTGACCTCTCTCCTCTTTCTTATCATGGGGGCGGCTGGGGCAGAGCTGGGGAGAGCCTGGGCAGGCCCGGGCAGGCCACGTGCAGAACAGATGTCTGCACCACGCCTTTGATCTCCTCTGGCCTTTCTTGCGTAGTCTGGTCCAACAGCCCAGGCCAAACACAACCCCCAACTCCTCCCCCCACCCAAAGAAACAATATAGAAGTCAAAGTTAGGAGGGAGCTTTCAAGGTCTAGTCTGATCTTTATGGTTCTTTCCTAAAATGAGATGGGCGAGACCAGTGGTGGGGGGCAAAAGGGATAGAAAGCAAAGAAGGAGGAAAAATGCAGATAAAGGAGAATGGTGCCTTCTCCCTGCCGGACATAATAGCAGCGTGACCCGCCAGGCATGCCAAGGGCAGCCTAGGGCATGCTGGGAATCCTCATGGCTTTGCATGTTCCTGCCTCCACTTCATAGGGAGTTCTTATCCCTGACTTTCTTGGCCCTAAGCTGTGCCACAGGGACTTCTGCCGTTATGATCCATTTTCCAAGCAGATGAGGCTGGAAGATTATCCACACAGCACAAGAAGAAACTGAGGCAGGGAGCGAGGCAAGCCACATTTGACATTCTCCCACCACCCTTAGCACAAACACGTGCCTCACTGACATGGGGAGCCTTAGGCTGCTCAGCCCCCAGAATTACATTTCTGAGCGGCCAGTTACCGAGTACCATTCTTCCCCTTGACTGGGCAGAACACAAACCAATAAATAAACAATCACTTACAAAAAGAGTGTAAGCGTTTGGCCAATTGCAGCAGTAAATCATGGTTTGCTCAGAGGCAGCAAGTCTCTGCCGCTCGGACAACTTGAGCGGCAAGGGGCCCAAGGAGGAATGTTTTCACTGGAAGGAAGCGAGGACAGCTCAGCCTGGTGACCCGGTGGCCAGGGCCCTGCCCGTCTTTGGCTCAGGACGGCTCCCTGAGAGGCTCAGGCAGGAGGCAGGCAATCTGCTCACCTGTACGTGAACAGTCATCCCCCACACTGCCTACCTCATGGTGTTGTCATCAGGCTCAAATAAGGCCAAGGCTGCAGCTGGGCTTCCTAACGTGGCATTGGGATTCCAGGGACAATGATGGCTTTCTCCCGAGCCCCCCTCCCACCATGTATCGGTTTCTCCCTCTAAACAGGGCTCCAGGTGATAAAGGTGTGATCAAGGCCTTGAACCAGGTGCAGTCCAGGTCCCCCAGCTGTGGCACGAGGGGGTCTTACTCTTTGTTTCCTCAAAGCAGGTGCAATGCGGGGGGTGGGGGTGGAATTTTTAACACTGAAGTAGCAGAAAAAACACAGGACTCGGGTTCACATGGCAGCCCGCTTCCCAACTCTACAACTTCGCATAGGCAGCTCCTGCTCTCTGAGCTTCACTCCCCTTGACTGGACTGTCATGAGGGCCAGGTGAGAAAGCAGGTGTGAAGACACTGGCTAACCTGGAAAGCACTTTGTCAATTTGAGGTGATATTTCATATTCATTTTTTTAATGGGAATCCTGCCCAGAATGGGGGTAGGATGGCTACAGGGAGTGTCCCCAGCATGGCTCCTGACGGGAGCAGGCTCCCTAAGGACACCGCCATGCCGGGTCTGAGCTGCGGCCCCAGGGCAATTAGAGCACCAGGGTGGGTGGGGGGGGACCCCATAGGGACCACAGACCGGGGAGGCTGAGGTGGAAGGAGCAGATGCCAGAGCCGTGTGGGTCCTGGAAGGAAAGGCTAATTGGTGAAAGCCTTCGACAGGTGAGGGCTGGCGTGGATTCCAGAACACCCTGGGCAGCGGGGGAGGAGAGTGTCTGCCCTTGCCCTGGCCCAGCTCTCCCCTGGGCCCCATTAACAGCCAGATTAGAGCAGCAGCCAGAGGAGCCAGGAGTGGACTGCACCCCAGCGTAATCAGAAGCCTGGCCACAGCTCTCCCTCGGCTGCTCCACAGATGCCCACAAATGAGCTTTGGCCATTGTTAAAATGCTTATTTGTTAGACAGCAACTTCATGCTCACCAAGGACAAAATAAGGTTCTGTGCCATGAGAATCTATGCGGTGCCTACTTGGGCAACCCTGTGAACAGACAGGGTTCTGTTAAAGCCTTAGACAGGGCTACAGCCTTCTGCCCCGATCAGGAAGATCCCAAATCTGCTCTCCACAGATGTCTTCATGATTGCATGGCTTATAAATTAAGACCTATGATCCACTGGATTCCAGGGACCATGAGCTCAAGGACAGGACCATGTTTTAGGTGTCTTTGTACCCTTAGCTTAGTTTCTGGTTCGTAGTAGGTTAAGACATATGTGTTGAAAGAATGGATGGATGGATGGATGGATGGAAGGATGGATGAGTAAATGGAAACCCAACTTTCACAGTAGTTAACACTGTGGAACTAGAATCAGAATGCCTCGGTTTGAACCCCAACTCTACCACTTAATGCTGTGTGACCTTGGGCAAGGTACCTAACCTCTCTGTGTCTCAGCCTATTGGGAGAATGGGGATAATGTTATGAGTATATACTTCCTAGCGCTGTGGTAAGGATTAAATGATTTAATGCATGTAGAACACTGTCTGTCACTTAGGGCTATAGGAGTGTTCGCTCTTACTGTTTGTCATCCTTAGACAATTCTGACAACCTTTGTGAGTCTCATGTTTTGGGGGAAATTCATGGTATCTACCTCAGAGCAGTGTTCCCACAATCAAAGGGCCTAATGTCATCAAGATGAAATAGCAAAAGGGGAACTTCCTAAAGATCTATAAGGCCTATGGAGGCTGAAGGAGGGACCAGAGGAATGGGGTAAAATCCGGAACATTTAGCGCTCTTCATTAGGAATGCAAATTCTCGAACCGACCCCAGATCTACTGGATAGGGAACTCTGGGAGTGAGGCTCAGGGACCTGCATCTTAACACCTTCCCAGGTAGGTGACGTGACCATTCACCAGGTTTGAGAAGCACTGGCCTGGGACCCCGGCGCCTGCCGAGGTCCCTTCCTTGCTGAGGGCACCACAGCCCAGGCAGGTGCAGCAAGAGACAGCCTAGCGGCTCCGGAGCAGGGCCCACCGGGCCGGAGGCAGAGGCTCCCCGGCGGCCTCCCGAGCGGCAGCGGCAGCCGAGGTGGTGTGGAGAGCCGGAGCTGACACTCCAAATTACAATCTAATAGCCTATCACGCTTCCCTCGCGCTCGACGGCAAAGGTTACCGTGCAATTACGCGTCGCCACATACAAATGACAGAGCAGTTATGGTTACTTTACCAATTATGGGGAAATTGCTCCCACTCTGTAGAGAGACTGGCACTCTGAAAAGCTCTATCATCGCCACAGAAAAGGGGGTTTTAATTCTGCCGGCATCCTTCCTCTGGCTGCCTCCCCAGGCTCCTGGGGCAGAGCTGCAAAGCGGTCACCCAAGG